TGCATGAGTTTGCATTCCCACCAGCAATGGATGAGTGTACCCCTTTCTCCACAACCTCTCCAGCAAAGGCTATCATTGGTGCTTTTTATTTTCACCATTCTGACAGGTGTAAGATGGTATCTTAAAGTTGTAGGACAAACATTTTAAATTATACAACCAAGCTGCCATCCAGACTTATGATGAGAAAGAATGTCCTAATGGAAGCTTGTAAAAAGCTAATTTCTTTAAATAAAGAAAAATTTAGGGTAGATTGTGTGGGAGGTCCTTCTCTCTATGTTTGCTTTTATTGGTTAATGAATAAAGAACTGGCTTCGCCTATAGCATGGGAGGAGGAAGGTGTAATTAGAGAGACACTATGGAGATGCCACCAAAGATAGATGTGCTGAAACTTTGCTGGTAGGCCATGATCTTGTGGTAATATACAGATTAATAGAAAAGGGTTGAATTAATATAAGAGTTAGCCGATGAGAACCTAGAGCTAATGGGCCAAGCACTGGATTTAATTAATATAGTATCTGTGTGGTTATTTCGGTTCTGGGCAGCCAGAATGAACAAGCAGCTAACCCCAACACGTAGGTGATTAATTTATAGACTTAATAACCATCTCCCTTAATCTTAATTGCTTGCAAGAAACACTATATAATTATAGATTATAAATTTATAACTAAACATTTTCGGAAAGGTTCTACTGGGCAACTCTACATAGCGCTGAATGCTGTCAGGTAGTGATATCAAGCTCATGGTGGAACTGGGCTCTAGGGACATGATGATGTCATTCACATGCTTAGTTCTCAAATACTCTCCTCTTTGGTGAAATCTAGGGAACTTTCTCAGAGGCCTTTGAGTAGAGGAAACTTCTCTCCTGAGAGCTCATTGTTCCAAAAGGCAAGAAAGACAGCTGTGAGTGCTCAGACCTAAATGGAACATCTATACCAACTTCTCCCCCAAGCCTCAGGGAACACTAAGGAAGAAGGGTTGAAAAGAATGTAAGAGTGAGAGGGTGAGGAGGAGTGCTTTGAAATGCCATCTTCTGGACGTAACATGCTCATTGCACCTACATATTCACAGCAGATATGGTTGTTTTCACAAGACCTGAAAAAGATTAAACTTGTCAAAATTATAGCATGAGAGATTCTAATTGAGGAGAAATTGGCAATTGCTGGCTACTAGGGGAAGAAGAGTCAATTTGCCTTAAGCATGTGGCCATGGATAGGTTTTCCCTTCTCACATGCATTATTATAAACCTATTATCCTGTCCATATGGGCAACATGAAATGTACTTGGTGGGAGTACCTGAAGTTGGGAAGAGAACATGTTGGTGGAAGTCCAAACAGAATAGTATGGAAGATATAGTGAATATATATCATCAAAATACATCAATTCATGTATAGAATGCTTACAGAATAAATAAAAATATTCTTACAGATCTTTTAATGTAAAAAAAGTACAGGGTGAAACTCTTTTTTATTTTATTTTTATTTTTATTTATTTATTTATTAAAGATTTCTGCCTCCTCCCTGCCACCACCTCCCATTTCCCTCCCCCTCCCCCAATAAACTTTCCTTCCCTCATCAGCCCGAAGAGCAGTCAGGGTTCCCTGCCCTGTGGGAAGTCCAAGGACCTCCCACCTCCTTCCAGGTCTAGTAAGGTGAGCATCCAAACAGCCTAGGCTCCCACAAAGCCAGTATGTGCAGTAGGATAAAACTGGACTCGCTGAACATAGTGGACAATGAGGACTGCTGAGAAGTCAAGAAAAATGGCAGAGTGAAACTCTTAATTATGAAGAGGGGTCTGAAGAGAAGGTCTAATAGTTAAGAGTACTTGTTGCTCTTGAAGAAGTCAAATCTCAGGGAATCCAATACCATCTTCTAACCTTCATGAGGATCAGACTACCTACATGATGCACATACTTACACATAGGCACACATTAATATATGAAATAAATAATTATTAAGTTGAAAAGTAGAGATCTTATTACCTCACAAATGTTGTTGGAACACATTGAGTGGCTAAGTGTAAAGGATTTCTTGAAGGCAAAGCCAGCCTGAGCTACACAGTGATTTTAAAACTGGCATAGACTATACAATAAGACACTGTCCCAAAAAATATTTTAAAAATTAAGGTCACATACCTTTTAAATGAAGAAGATACCAATTGTAGTAGCTGCCTATTGTTACCATTTGTAGAAATGAAACACAGGAACCTCTGAAGAAGAAAGCATTTTTTCTCTTTGAAAGTCTGTAAAATAAAAAATAAATAAATAAAAATCAAGCTAATATTATATATATATAGCTTTCAAAAAATTTAGGACTCTTTTGAGTCGCTTACTGTTGTAAAAACTATCCATTTGTGGCATTATAAACTCTACAGTATATGAATAACATGACATTCAGGTGAAAACAAGCCTTTACAATCTAATTTAGTCTAATCTGCCCAGGCTTCTTTATCACTAGCTTCTTCCAAATGGTCTCTACTCACAGTTATTATGCACACACCTATAATGAATCTATTGTGTTTATTATTCACTGTGGGAATAGATATATATGCCATGAAAAATAGTGCTTCCCCATAGCTCTCAATAAAATGTTAGAAAGTGTTTGGAAGATTTAAGCTTTCTCTTAGGAATTCTATTGCTGTCAAAGAAGCACCATGACCACAGAAACTCTTATAAAGGAAAACATTTAGTTTGGGTGGTTTACTTACAGTTTGGAGCGTCAATCCATTATCATCATGGTGGGACATGGTCACAAGCAGGCAGACATGGTGCTGGAGAAGTGCTTGAGAGTCCTGTATCTTGCAGGCAACAGGAAATGGTCTGAGACACTGGGCCATGTTTTGAGCAAATATGAAACCACAAAACCTGCCTTTGCAGTGACATACTTCCTCCAACAAGACCACACTTACCCCACAACGCCACATGTCCTAGTAGTATCACTCCTTTTAGTACCATTCCCTTGGGGCCATTTTCTTTCAAACTACCACAGACTTGTTCATTAGTTTGCATATCTCTTCAAATCTTGCTCTGGAGGAAAATGGCTAAGCTAAAATTAAGGTTGTAATGATAAAGACATGGAACAAATATGAAGCAGTTCTAGATAGATAGATAGATAGATAGATAGATAGATAGATAGATAGATAGATATAGACCAACATTAAGGTTGTAACAAGTAAGGTATAGAACACTTATATTAAACAGTTCTGTCTTCGACAGATAATTGATATAGATATACAGACATATAGATATAATACTATATATAGATGGATACATAGATGTATATAACAGTTATATTAAACAGATGGTGTGATATTTGGTCATTTTGTGAAAGCTAAAATCAATTAAATTTAACAAAGGTTACAAATAAAAATGTCATAGAATTAGGAGCATTTCTAACTAAAAGAAATTCAGAATGACTCACTCCTCCAGAGGTTCCTGTTATATGCATCATCAGAGAAAATGAAGTGGCATACCACATACTGAAGCAATGAATTGGGTTTGCTCAGCCACATATGTGCACCCACACATGTCACTCACACATGTGCACACGAGCACATACACACAACACACACACATTCCAAAATAGTAGAAAAGAAATCTCTCTCTTTCTTCTCTCTGTCTCTCTGTGTGTGTGTGTGCATGTGTGCATGTGTGTGTGTGTTATATGGGCAAAACAGTGGTACACTGGTACTTCTCCCATGCTCTTTTAGTGATAGTACTCACAGGAAGTCCAATTAGATTATGCAAGGATAGCTTCTATCTTTTGGCAGAACTTGCAGCTATGTTTAACAGATAGATCCATAGATATGTAGATGACAGATGATAGATAGATAGATAGATAGATAGATAGATAGATAGATAGATAGATAGATACAGACTGACTGAATGACTGACAGACAGCTAGATGACAAAATTTGACCCTAAGGTTTGCTTAACTCCTGTTACTGGCAGAGACTTCATTGCTTGAATGTAGCGCCCCTTATGTTATAGTTCACTATGTACAAGAGGGTACTTCCAGCCTAATTTTATCATCAAATATGAAGCATATTTAGGCTAAACTTAATTTAACAAGTACATATAATGCACTTTTAAAACATATCTTTTTGAGACTATAATATAATTATATCACTTTCCTCTTCCTTACTTTCCTTACAAACCCTATTATGTATCCTGCCTTGAACTCTTTCAAATTCATGGCTTCTTTTTTTTCGTTTTCTATTTTTACATACATAAGTAACATTATAT